CCCCAAAACCCCAAAACCCCAAAACCCCTTCTTTTAAAAATCAGAGAATAAGAGTGAATCAGTAAATAAATCTATTTTTAACTTGATTAATAAAGTATTTAATATTACGTGGATGCAATATCTCTTTTATTAGTCTTAGATAGATAATACTTTGCAGCTCTAAACTCCTCAAAACTAAACTTCTTTTGAGGAATTCAGTCTTACTCCTTTTCCAATGCCTCCATCTTGGATAGAAATAACAGGAATAATTATAATATTGGGAATTATGATATTATGTAATGCAGGAGGAGTAGGAGGTGGTGGAAACTCAACTCCATTCATTGCAGTATTTTTCAATTTATCATTGATTGAATGTATTCCAATTGGTAACTTTTTGGGATTAACTTGCTCATTATTCAGGTTTATAATCAATTTCAGAGAAAAACATCCTAATAATCCGTAAAGATTGGCAATAGATTATGAGATTATAGACTTAACAATGCCAGTCCTATATTTAGGCACATTTTTCGGAGTATAAATTGGCACAAAACTTTAAGAAATATATTTAGCAGTGATATTTGCAATCCTGTTGTTCTTTTTATCATATAAGACAGCTCAGAATGCCAAAAAATTGATACAGGCTGAAAACAAAACACTTTAAAGCTAAGTAGACATGTAATTCAAAACCAAACTAATAGAAAATGATAATATCATTCCTGACATTAATGATCATGAAATAAAAAATATCATTGAGGTCAACAGCAAAAATGAATCAAGCTTATTAAGAAATATATTGAAACAAGAAAGTTAGCATTTTACTTTGAGGAGATGCTTGAGTTTCGCTTTAAATCTTATTTTCTTGATTACAACATCAATGCTTTTGAATAGTAAAGATATATTTAGAGTTAGCGATTATATTAAATATGCAGCGGTGGGACTGTTCATCATCTACGCTATAATATCTACAATTATAACATCAAGGACCTTGCAAAGAAACTATCACATTAAAAGACTTGAAGGGTACAAATTTGATAAGAATGATATAACATATGAGAAAATAAACCATTTAATCAAAGTGATTGTACTTTGCTTATTTTGTGGAGTCCTTGGAGGCATTGTGGGTATACCAGGAGGAATCATCTTAGCTCCATTATTTCTCTAATTGGGAATGCTTCCAATTCTCGTATCCAGCACCAATTAATACTTAGCTTTGATTTCAGCAATATCAGTTTCGTTCCAATACTGGTATCTAGGAATGCTTAACCAATAATTTATCATAGTCTTGGGTATCATTTGCATGATTGGATGTTACATCGGATTAAAGATAGTTTAAGTAAAGGTTAAAAAGAGTGGAAGACAGTCCATTATAGTTGTAGCCCTAGCCTTAGTCCTCTTTGCATCATTTCTGATGATTCCAGTTAAATATTGGCTAAAAAATATTGCCTATTATTGATTGATAAAAGCTTAAAAATGCCAACATATAGTCATTCATAGAATATTTAATTACAAATTAAACTTTTCATCATGCAATTATATTATATTATATTATGTTCATAGGTTTTAAATCCTTATTTATACTAGAGTTTATCCAAGCGGGGGTTTTGGGGTTTTGGGG